TGACAGAGAATAATAATGGGCGGAGAACCGAAAAAAAAAATCATAATCATAATGTATACCAAAAGTCCATAATTAGACTCAAATGGCGAACTCTTTGGTGACAAGATGGAGGGGATGGTAGCCTACATCTAGCTTCTTTTACTGAGTTCGAGCAGTGTTTACTTGTAGTAAGAGTTTTACGGCATTTACAACAACTGATAGGTCATTATTATAAGTGCTGACGATTAGAGGTGTTACTAGTTAGTAACATACAAAAGAAAAGAGGGAGGTGAGATAATTTATAAGGATAATAGATGTTTGATAGGAAAGAAGAAGCAAATCACACGAGATCACCTACCACCTAGAGCCACAGCGCGTTTTTGTTTTGTTTTGAAAACGTATAATCTGAAGTTCGCGTTTTGTTCTTTTCTTGTGTTCTTTTTTGTCGTTGTTTGTTGTTTGTTTGTTTGTTTGTTTGTTTTTATTTGTTTTTTAAATTGATACTCGTAACTTTATTCTGTACCGAGTGTAGTAGATGTAAACAGAGAGAATATTGAGGCTCTGAGCCTATTTTGAGAATGAAAGCCACGATCTTGTACAGAAATGTGCTAGGACTTGGAGACAGAATGATACCGAAATAGAGGAACAGATCATTACAAAAGTTCCCAAACAACTACACACTGGCCAATTCCCACCCTCGAGGTCAGTGCCATGCGCCTTTAAAAAACATCCTTGGTAAAATGTGTTCGTAGTGAGCAGAGGACTCGATCACTAAATTATTTTTCTGATTGAGCACGCAGTAATAAACTCTACTGTGCAAGCTACACGTGCTTTTTTGAGACTTCACAGCTTCTAGCTAATGTATCACACTCTTGTGCGAGTTAGCTGTCACGAATCTTTCATTTAAGACTGCAGTGCGCTGTACAGAACAGAACAGTTACCTTCTGGCGTCTGGCCTGCTCTCAGAGGTCTCGCAGATACCCAGCCAACTTGGACTAGAGTTTTTAAGACTCCTAAAGATAAGATAAGATAAGCTAAGATAAGATAGGATAAGATAATACTTTATTATCCCAAAGGGAATTTTTCTTGGCTGTACAGGACCGTAAAAACTCATGCAGGTATACATTAAATTTATTTTTAAAAATATTATTCGTATTAAAATTCAATATGAAAAGAGAAATAGTGCTGAAAAATGTGCATTCACATCAGATGCATCGTTCAACCACATTCAGGAATTTAATTACAAGACCTTCTGAGTTATATAGATACATACTCTAAAGAGCAACTCACATATTTGCTCATTCTGACAAAAGCCTTAAGCTAGATGGGGGAAAAAAACTTCTTTTATAACTTTCTGTCTTTGTTTTTAGAGGAACATATTTGCCACTGCGTGATCTTACAATTTACATGGAAAGGGGGTGTGATGGGTCGTTTTTAATGCTCTTTATCTTTTGTATAGGTGTGGTATTATACATTTAATAAATTCTAGAAAAATCATATCCAGAGATCTTTGCTGACTTTCTTAATGGTTCTGTCAATTTTTCTCTATCTGTCATCTTACAATTCCCACCCCAGCAGCAAATACAAAATAATAGCACACTTTCAATTATAGAATGGTGTAAAAGGGACATAATCTTATTATCAACACGGAAACAAGTAAATCAAATCGAGAAGACCACTATTACGAGGGTGGATAAAAAAGAAATGGAAGCTGGGAAATATCTCAGAAAATATAAGTGCTTTGAGTCAGAAAAGTTCAGTCTTTTGAAATAATCTCCTCCACTTTGTATGCAGGATTTTAGCATTCACAGCCACTTTTAAAGGCATAGAGGTACCAGTCTAGTAGTCAGCTTCCCATATGCTTCGGATCGCAGCTCTGAATTTAAAGGTCTTGTGTGGTCTAGAGTGGGTTCAGACTTTCGTCTAGCATGCTTATACTTCAGAAATGGGAAACCAAAAGCCACATGGAGTTAAATCATGACTTTAGGTTAGAGGAAGCCAAATTTGGATCCCTTGCTCGTAATGCACTGAATGCATGATTTTCGCGGAGTGTGCAAGAGAATCCGATCTTTGGACTCTGCTCTTCAAGAGTGTCCCACATAGTAATAAAGAGTCAAATCAGTACTGTGTGGTATGATATCAACCACAAGGGCAGCATTGTAACAGAGAAAGACAATAACAGGTTTTTTCTGTTTTGAAATCCTGAGCGCAAAACGGCAGACCTTTCTACCTTTTCACGAATCCATATACGATTCAACCGTTTTGATGGAATTAAAAAAAAATGGGAATCCATGTTTCGTCTCCGAAGGCAATGTCTGAAAGTCTCTTGGACCCATGCGATTCAACCATGTTGAGTAATTATGTGGCACATTTTTCATTTCTCTTTATGTTCCTCGTTTAGTAAATGTGGTATCAAAGAGAGCTCTCTAAGATTAATATTTTGCACTAACCCAAATGAATGCCCAGTCTTGAATAGCGATATGGGGATCTTGTCCAATTTTGTACTAGATAAGATAGACACTTTTCTCGTTCACGGAGGAATTCAGCGCAGCCAGATCGTAGGTCATTAAAAACAATGTCTCTCCCTTCACTGAACTCTGTTACCCAACGAAAAAATCGTGTTAAACAGATTCTCCACAAGCACTGCTAATCTTCATGGTTTATTTTTGGCGAATAGCCAAGTTTACAGTGCAGACGTGGAATTGATTTTCTTTGGTGAACTTTGTCTTGTTTCCCTCAGAATGAAAACCATCCTTTATTTATGTCGATATAAAATAATCACAAGTTAAATCATATGAAACTACTGCGGCTGGGTCAAGAGCAGACATGTTATAGATTAATTATGCGTATTGTTTTTAATGTCTCAGGTGAATATCGTAGGCGATAGATGGAAACTTCCATAACTTTCTGCCTCTCTTTTCAAATTTCCTTACATAAATAGCCATAAAGCGGACCAGCTTACGGGAAGGAATAAAAGTTATTTTTCTTGCTTTACGTGTGTCATGTTTGACTGACGGGGAGGGCAGGATTATGTGGAACTGATTGTATAATGAGAGTCTGGTTGATACGAGTACGCAAGCAAATAGGACAGTCACGGTTTTGCGCTTAAAGTAGCCTGTAGTTTTTGGGTCTCTTTTTTTTTTCTCTCGCAGATTCTTTCGTCTTGATAAAAACAGTGGTTATGCAATGATACCCCATCCCCCTGAAAATACAAATAAACACACGTCTATTAAAGTCAAAACAAGTAACTCAGTAATAATATTCCCCTGTCTAAACTGTAAGATCGTAAATAAAGAGATAATGGTATACCCTTACCTTACTGACTACCCCCCCCCCCCATAAAAAACTTTTCACAAAAACCATTCAAACGAATTCTAATACCTTGTAATGCTGCAGACAACAGCCATCTATTTCCACTAAATGGCTAACATACATTCATACGGGCATCTTTTCGGTATTCGTATATCTCTTTTCCAGGGCCAGACTGTGGCCGTTTACCCAGGGGCACATCCGTGGCATACTGTACAAATACTTTCTCACTGTGGCGCGTATTCAAACCGATGCTTCTACAAATTTGCAGAAGCGGTAAACATTCTCAAAATTTCAGCGTCCATCGTCCGAATTTGACTCCCTCACTCTGCATTATTCTTGTGAAGCTTTCGCATTTCAGTAGCAGAAACAGCGATGTTTGCACGTGAACTGTGGGGGAAGGGCTGGATCTCACGTGTCGTTTTGCTACGTCGGCACGGGTGTAAGAAGCAGGAACATAATTACCTTATCATCAGTTCTATAGTCCATTCTGAAGCCCTCTTTCTTTTCTTCCCCTCCCCCCTTGACTATATTTAGATCTTTCTATCGCCCTTGTTTTTGTTTGTTTTTCTTGTTATTCCTGAAGGGAGACTTAAATTATTCCCCTTGGGGTTGGATTGCTGGCCTTCGAGCAGATGCCAATATTTGATGTTCAGTTTCAAGAGGCATACATACATTTTTATAAGTGGACATGGATTTCTGTTTGGTTAGGTCGTCGCCGTTCAAGGTGAATAGAGAAGTGAGAAACACAAAGGATTGAAAAAAGCTCTGTTTTTGGGGTTTTTTAACCAGAAAAAGAAAACGAATAGGCAAGCTTTTGTATAGGCTTGTGTGCTTTGATTTTTTTATAGTTGTTTTTATAAAAGTATTTTCCACCCGCAGCATCTCAGTGACGGGACAGAGCGTTATACATCTCAAATAAGGAATTGCACAATCACTGAGTGACGCTGACATACCGAGAAGACCCCTGTCTAGCCGAAAGTTTTTAATGTTCTAAAGAATAACTCCACCTTTCGAAATGGATGTTTGCTTGGGAGAGAATTTTGGTGAAATAAAATTTACATTGGGTTTAATTTTAAGGAGAAAAGAAGGAAGCAAGGCAACGAGGCAGGCCCAGAATGATGTAAGAGGCTGCTAGCTCTTAGTGAGCTAAGGGAGGGGTGGAGAGCGTTTCAACGAGGACTGCGTCCTATTAACCCTTTCCAAAATGAAGGGACATCGTATCCGGGTTCTTTAATGAATACAGTCGAACCTGCTTTAACAAACCATCAGTATAAGACAATAAGACAATCACCTGTACTGAAGAACACTCCCCCCCCCCTCCCCCCACACACACATACACCACTGAGTTTTTTTCTCACTTTACTATACATTGTGTAATACTGTCATTTATCTCAGATGACTACCTGTCTAAGACAGCCACTTTTCTCCTCGACAACGAGTGTCTGTCTTAAACATTTTCTAGTGTACACATTAATTATTGTCACATAAAATCCGCGTCTATTAACACAGACAAATGTGAGGATCTAGAAATGATGTAGTCAGCACCATCGTTTTCAGAGACAGCATGCGTTATCCAACTAGAACAAGGAACCATCAGTTGATAACTTACTCGCATTATGAAAGAACACTGATAAGTAAAGGGTTAAAGGCTTTGTGTAATGTAAGCACACGTCACACCACTCTTTCTCCATCGGGTGGCATTACAGCGTCGCAAATGCAGGATGCTTTGACAGGACGTGAAGGTAGGCCTATATAGTTTTTAAGGTTTTAGTTTCTTGTAAAAACACTTATTCGAGGTGAGTAACTTGGAAGTACACACCTACCATTTAAAACGTGTGACCATGGTGAGATTGTGATATTTCTTTTTCAAAGTTTGACTGTAGGGAAAACGTATTTGCTGTACGTAAACTGTTCAAACGATACGTGTGTTTCCTTGTTCTTTTCTACTTTTTCCGTAGTTGCTTAGATTTATATCTTTTGTTTTCGTTTGTTTTTCCTCCTTATTCCGTCTTAAGCCATATGTAAGGATAATATTAATAAAGTACAAATAACTGTGTGCTCAATCCGAAGAACACCGTACATAATAAGAGGTTTTTCTCCCCTCAACGAAGTATCTTTAGCTGAAACAGTATCTCGACAATGCCAATGACATTATTTACTTATCTCGCAGGGAGAAATTTGTGTCCGTCGTTTACCTGCAGTCCGGAAAACAAATTTCGAACCCCCCCCTCTTTTTTTTCCTTTGTCTATCTCATTTCAATCTTACTTATCGGCTCTCCCGAAGAAATGTTTTGAAGAAGCAGCCTTCTCTTTTTAAAACAAGTTTTCATGTTTGGGATTTCCATTTTCTTCCTTTAGCGATGAGCAGTCAGTAGCGTTTCTTTCGTCAACTCATTTGAAAATAGATTTAATTGAGGAACGTCATAAAGTCCGCCCTTGAAACGCATCAGATCGTGGTTGCAAAGCGCAGTTAGACACAAACATTACTGACACTGCTGAAGTTTTAACTAGACAAAAGTCTGCAAAAAGCAAGGGGGGGGGGGTCTTATCTTGTAGTTTTTTAGAATGTGATTTTTGTTTGTTTGTTTATTTGTTTTGTTGTTATTATTTTTTATTTGCAAATTTCTTGGGATACCTTATTCTCTGCATTGAGAGCTCTACCTTCGAAATTGTCTCTCCCTACTGTAGTAGGGGGAATAATTTCAAGCGAGAGAAAAAAAACACACCGGGGAGCGATAATAAAACAAGGAGTAATTCGGTTCCTCTTTTAAGCGCCTAAGAAAGATATGTTTAACATTAACCCAATGGTATCACACAGAATTACAATTCAGACAACCACGTTTGGTATGCGTAAAGGAACATTTTGTTTTCCAGCCTTTTTCTCGTTTTTTAAAGGAGAGCGTTCATTTATTTGTTTATTTGTTATTTGTTTGTTTTGTTTTCTGCAAAAAAGTGGGTTTCTCGTAGATGGAAATTGAATCGCAGATCATGAATCTAACAAAAAAAAGCTCAGTTTCCAAACATGCATTAATCCAGTGCCATACCAGCGTAGGGCGTAACGGTTTTGTCCTGATGTTAAATCCGTTTAGATTTACATAAGGAGTAGTTGGTACGTTAATAGTATTTCAACCAAGGTGCCAAATTTTAGGGAGTGGCATCACTCGAATACAAAGAACATCTAGTCCTATAACCAGAGTCCGGTATAACTTTAAAAGAGCTTCAATTTCATTTTTTTACACAACTTTAAAAGCAACGTCATTAGCAGCACCAACGTTATTAGGCTTGCATTAGTTGGGGTTCTTTTGTTTTTTTGTTTGTTTTTTTGTTTGTTTTTGGTAATTTGTGTTTTTCGGCGCTCGCAACCGCATAAGGTCATATGAGCGCACGGGACACATTTGAAATTCCAGTTGGTAGGTTGTTGTTGTTGATGTTATCGATCCAGCAACAGCTGGGCTCTCGCCCTTCTGTCCAATGCCATGTAGTGATAAGTGCAGGTCTGCTGCAGTTGCTGTAATGTTCCATAGAGTGTGTTGTCTATGTTAGGTCTCGGAGGGAGAAGAGTACCAGTTGGTAGGAAATTTTGAATTTTGCCCGGGTGGCGGCCGAAGCCTACTCTTGTCGATTTTGGACCACCAAGGGATCTTTAACGTGGGCAACTTGCACACGGGACCTCCGAGACTTTTTCACCCTTGTCCGAGAAGGCTAGGTGTAGATCTTTCCCACCAGATGATCAGAAGTGTGGTTGAAAGACAGCAGTAAGAAGGGGCCAAGGAGTAGCAGTAGAAAGGCTGCAGAAGAGTCAGAAGCCAAGAGGAGGGGGCAAAGGGGGTGAGGGGGTAGGGGCAGAAAGTAGATGAAAATAGACGACAAAACATTGCTTGAGAGCAGGAAAGGAGGTGAAAGGAGAACATTTTAGAGAAGAAAAATTTTCCGTCACTACCCGGATTCGAATCCCGGACTTTGAATGAGAGGCGAACACTTTTTAACCTTTAGGCCACGAGAGCTCCCCTGGTCAGTGCTTGCCAACTCGTGCGATAATAGCATCTCCCGCAAGAGGCCGATTTGGTTCATTTTGGTCGGCGGTCGGGATCACTCAGGTAGTGGCAGGTATTATTTGAATGCAACGCTTGGAAATGTGCATGTAGGTGGGTGTTACGAAAATGTTCTCCTCATAAAAGTGGCGAAAGTGAGGGATGACTAAGGAATGGTTAACAAGCACTGGCCTGGATAGCGGAGAGCTTTTTTTCTGTTTAAAAGTGACACATCAGGCCAAGGGAGTTATTTTCTGGACACTTTCCCTCGAGTGATGACCACCTGGCCGATACGTCACTGGCATTTATTCTTATCCGAACCAGTGAATCCCTTTTGCCCAGTTTGAAGTTGACATTTATTTATTTATTTTTTATTTTTTTAGATCGATCGTTTTGATTGCACCGTTGAGCTTGATTTTGAAACTGTGAGTTATGAACTAAAAGTTCATGTAATGATTCATTTTTAGTGTAGAAGTATTTGTACCTAGTTATGTTTGAATTGTCTGTTTTTGTAAAAGTGCTGTTTGTCTGCTTGGTTGTTTGTATACGTTTATGTATAAAAATTGCGTTATAATGTAAGCCCTATTAATGAAATTCCATTTTACAATCAAACTAGTGTGTGTGTGTGTGTGTGTGTGTGTGTGTGTGTGTGTGTGTGTGTGTGTGTGTGTGTGTGTGTGTGTGTGTAGAAAGGGGGAGGGGTGGCTACCGTTCCACAGGCTTGAGACCATCACGCTTTACCATGTAGCCACAGTAAGATCGTTGATGACATTGTCTTTGTATTTAGTAAGACAAGTTTTAAAAACAATGATTTAAAGACTTATGAAGTCTTAATTGTGTTACTTGTTAAACAGACACTTTCTGCCTTCCTAATGCTTTCTTGGGGGAGCTGTGCTGCGTTTCAACGAAACATTTACTTGGAGGTTGTTGTTTTGTTTTTGGGGGGTTTTTTGGGGGGGAGTAATAGGTGGAAGAGAGAAGACCGACAGACTGAGAGAGAGAGAGAGAGAGAGAGAGGGGGGGAGAGAAAGAGAGAGAGAGAGGGAGAGAGAAAAGAGAGAGAGAAAGAAAGAGAGAGAGAAAAGAGATAGAGAGATAAGAGAGAGAGAGAAAAGAGAGAGAGAGAGAGAAAAGAGAGAGAGAGAGAGAGAGAAAAGAGAGAGAGAGAGAGAGAGAGAAAAGAGAGTGAAAGAGAGAAAAGAGAGAGAGAGAAAAGAGAGAGAGAGAAAAGAGAGTGGGAGAGAGAGAGAGAGAGAGAGAGAGAGAGAGAGAGAGAGAGAGAGAGAGCAAACAGAACAAACAGTTGTAGCTTTAAGCATGCACTACAAGACCAGACTCCTCCGTTATTTATTCCTACAAATATGTTGTAGATCATCACCTGTATATTTTAGTTTATGTAAGAGCTTTACGGCTCTTGCAACTTAGAGAGTAGCATTTAAAGAAAAGGTGGAGAGATAAGGACAATAGACGTTTAAAAGGAAAGCGTGAACAAGCAACAGCAGAACGCCCGCCAACCACCCGCTCTAGATCACCGTGTTAGTGAAAAATTGCAATAATGTCTGAAA